GTGTTAATAATGCTCCAATCAATTAGAGATAATTGTTCCTTAAAAGATTTAAGGTTTTCATTTGTAAAAAATTGCTTTTTGAAAACTCGTTTTTCATTAGGAACTAATTTATTATCTATATTTATAGAAAAGAAAATAGGAAAATGATCAGATATGTCATTTTTAATTATGCCCTTTTTTAAGGATTCGTTAAAAACATCAGTGGTTAAAATATTATCAATTAAAGAGGCACTTGATTAAGTAATTCTTGTCGGTTTGCTAATCAAGGGAATCGCACCATTTTCAAAAATGCCATTATAAAACCTTTTAATGTTATTATTGACGTGGTATTGAAAACAATCTAAATTCAGATCACCCACTAAGTAGATAAATTTATTTTCGTGGTTACTTTTTTTAATAACGTCATTACATAAAAACGAATTAAAATTTTTAATTTCACCTGAAGGTGGGCGATAACAACAACTTAGAATTTTTTTTATTTTATTGGTTAAAATTTCAATCGTTAAAACCTCTTTATCAGCATCGGAGATGCTCATGTCATGCCGGGTAAAATATCGTAAGTTATTTTTAACATAAATAAGAACGCCTCCGCCACGCTTATTTGTTTTTCGTGCTAATGAAATTACATTAAAACCCGGCAGTTTTAAATTGGTAAAAAAATTTACGTCATCCGAACTGCACCATGTTTCTGTTAAGCTAATTATATTAAATAGATTACAAGTTTCTTCAATAAAATTACGAAAGATTTCAAAATTTTTTTTTAAACTGCGGATATTAATGTGAATTGTGTTAATATTATTTTGATCAAGAAATCCTTTAATTTCATGGGTATAAAAGTAGTTGCATTTATTTTGCAAAGCACCAGAATTAGAAAAATAATTAAGATCAGGATCAGATTCATCATCTAATAAGAAATCATTTGTTTGAAAAAAATTATAAAAGCTAGACTCAAAATTTAAGGTTTCGTTAGAATCCATTTTATTTTTGTTTTTTCATAATCGAAATAAGATCAAAGAATTTCTTTATAAATCCCGTGTGATTAATTTATTATATATAACTTTAGCGTACTTACCCTTTGCCCTTAAATCTTTTGCCTCATTCAGGAGTTTTTTTCGCAATTCCATCGTATGATCACTATAATCTTCATTTATGTAAACCTTTTGAGTCCACAATTTCATCGTCGTGTATTTTCTTAAATTTGTAATAGTAATATAAATTGTAATATATATTTGTAATAGACTTAAATTTGTAATAGTACCATCACGTAAATTCTTGTAGAACATAATTTTGTATTGTATACTAATTGAATTCATTTTAGTAAAGATAAAAATATTTATGAAAACAAATCTTATTTGATACTAGGGTGTATCAAACCATCACCACCACACCCACCTCCAACGTTAACATACGACTCTCATATACGCTGGTGGTTAAAAATAATTTTATAACAATGTTTTTGTATATTTAAAATACTTATGTCTTGAAAAAAGACTTTTTTTTGTGAAAAAAATGTTTAGTTTCATACGAGTAAGGTGGTGGTTTGGTACCCCCTCTGTCCATCCGATACACCCGGTGGTTAGAGTTTAACAAAAATTTATAGCCCACTCTTACACCTATCTTTTGACACCAAGATATTTGTATTTCGATAAGAATTAATAAAGTTATGACAATTTAAGTTAAGAAAAACATAATTTTGAGCACAGTTTCTTCAATAATTCCATCTATCGAAAAATTGGTACTTAAAGTGTCATAACTTTTGAACCGATTGTTCGTTTTTGATAATTTTTTCACCTTTGAATACTGTATTGGTCCTCTTTCTAATGATATATAAAAGTAGAATATTTAAACAATTTGAAATTTTTACTCACGTACCTAGAAAAATCTGTTATTAAATATTGTAGAATGAATTTTCACCCCGTCATAATCGACTCAAAAGAAAAAGTTGAACATTATAATAAAAAAGTAAAGGAAGGTTCCTTGATATGTTGTATTCCTCTTGACGCTATATATGGTTGTAGGTGAGCCCTATATAATAATAATAGTAAATATTGATGGTATTGATAATACCAGTAATAATAAGGTAAGCTGTGACAATTGCTGAAATAAATAAAAGAGATTGCGGAACATGTTGCACAATCACTTTTAATAGTATTATTGTGATATTAATAGATGATGTTTTGTTACTTATAGCATGCTAGCACAACCTTTTTTTATTATTGTGTTCCACAATTAGTAAAATTTATTCAGCAATATTATTTGTTTCAGCAATATTATATACAATTGTACGTACAATTGTACAAATTATGTATACGTTTACATCATATATTAATCAATTGTACAATATTATATGTACAGTACAGTACTGCAGTACTTAAAAAACAGCCAAATAGTTACAACTAAGGATGACTGAAACTTTCAATTATGTTTTTCACACTGAAAGAAACAAAGAAAAAAAAAACGAAAGCAAAAGAAACAAAAATAACAATACAAAGAGAAGTAATTTAATAAAAAAAAAAATAAATTAAACAAAATTATTGCTCGAATAACGAACGAGCAGATTAGATGTATATTTTTATGTGTTTGTACATTTTCTTGTCGTTTTTATGCTTTTTTATTGGTACTACTATTTGTTGTTAGTTTATTTTATTACATTAGAAGTTTTGTTTATTATGTTTGTTTTTTTGTTGTTATAAGTTCTTTCCCAGCAAACATGTAAGCGTTGAATCAACGTTGAAAACCAGTCGCAGCGTAGAAAAAGCGTTACAGTCACAAAAACAACGTGCTTTCAACGTTGAATCAATGTCTGTTTTTGTATACTAAATCGCGGTAAATTGAAACGTTGAATAAGCGTTAAAATTGTAACGTAACTAAGCCTCTCAAAATAAAACGTTTATTCAACGTAGAATCAACTTACGCAAAAAGCCACTTTAAAAACGTTTCCAAGTATATTCTTTATCAACGTTAAAAACAAACCGCTTTTTAAACGTTACATTTTTAACGTTGAATAAGCGTATAAATGTAAACGTATCTTATCTTCTCAAAAAAATGCGTTTATTAAACGTTTGAAAATAAGTACGCAAATAATCACTGTAAAAACGTCGCAAAGGTAATGGTTTTTCAACGTTAGACATTAGCTGCTTTTTCAACGAATTTAAACTATTTGAAAAACAACACTTATTCAACGTTATTTCAACGTTGGTTGAAAATGTGCTAATTAAAAAACGTTGAAAAAGTGTTACTTTGCCAACGTTAATAAAACGTTGTTTTGACAATGTTGAGGAAGTGGCACATTGAAAATTATTGTCTCAATAACTAGCCATTACAAAAATAATTTGCCTTAATGGAAAGGCAAGGAAAACTCATAGAATGCATGCATATGGTATAAATTTTTTTTAATAAAGTTATATTTTATAGCCTATTTTATTGCGACTAATTTAAAACTTTTAGATTTTATATCAAAATGTATATAAAGTACATAAATCTCAGGGTAAATTCGATTTATTCAGCTTATTTTTGTCAATGTTTTATTTTGTTTTAAGTTGACGATTTTAATAAAATGCTTAACTTTTTTAAATATTTATTTCTTAGTTAGAAATAGTACTTAGTTTTAATGCGGTTCACATTTATAAAATATTATCAAAATTGATAAAACATAATAAGTCAGACTAAATTAAGTTTGTTAACAGATTAGATTTTTTAGTTTATTAAAAAATTATCACTTATACATACATACATACATACATACATACATACATACATACATACATACATACATACATACATATATATATATATATATATATATATATATATATATATATATATATATATATATATATATATATATATATATATATATATATATATATATATATATATATAAATATATATATATATATTTTATGAGGAATTTAATATTTATATAGTTTACCATTTATTTATTACTTTATTAAGAGTTTGTATACTAGTTTTATTAAGTATCTGAATACAGACCTATGAAGTCTCTCCCATTTGGCAGGAGTTTTCTGAATTTTGAAGAGAAATTTATCTCCAACCTGCATTTAAAAATAATTTAAAAACTTTCTTTTCCTCATTAGTAACTTAAAATACACCAAGCTTCTAACTTTTTAAATAGTTTTCATTTTATAAGTTGAGAAAAATGGTTAAAGATTGTTAAAAATTGCTTAACACAAACATAAATATATAAAAGTATATATCTATACAGAATAAATTTCAGCTCAGTCAGTGGCCAAATTTGGACATTTTTAAGTTAGTTGTCAGAGTAATAAATCATTAAAAAACTTTTTTAGTCAATAGAGGTATTTTAGTGGACAAACATCCAGTGGTATAAAATTTTTTCCAAGTCTCCCTTGTAAACATTTTCAAAACATGACAGCTATGTGTATACACATAAAAACTTTATATTCATGTATATATATATATATATATATATATATATATATATATATATATATATATATATATATATATATATATATATATATATATATATATATATATATGTGTGTGTGTGTGTGTGTGTGTGTGTGTGTGTGTGTGTGTGTGTGTGTGTGTGTGTGTGTGTGTGTGTGTGTGTGTGTGTGTGTGTGTGTGTAAATAATGTATATATAAAGAACTATATATACATAAACTACATATACATTAAGTTTGAAGCAGAGACAGTTGTTCCATCTTGTTCGAAAAAAGATGGATGGTTATTTTGGTCAACTTGTGTTCATGCAATGAAAGCTACCTATAACAATTTTTTAATCATTGACTCCTGCAACAAACTTAGACTTAAAAGAGTTAAAGTAACTGGAGGTCATTAAATTTTACAGTAATTATTGCTATTTTAATTGTTTTATATGAGTAAAATATTTACTATAAATTTATTTTAACGGTGAAGTATTAAATAAAATAAACTATTTTATTTTTATTTCAGAATAAGTAATATTTTGAATCTGGTTAAGGTATTATTACTCCCTAGATATATATTGTAATCTGTTTACACTTATTCTACTTTTTTGTTTTTACATAATTTTATTTATATTTATTTTACTAAATAATTACTAATACATAAAGAAGTATGTGCAGAATTTAATTTCACAACTAAAGAGGACTCCGAAGAAGAATGTAAGTAATTATGTTTGTAAATAATTTTGTTTCTCTTCCGATTTAACTTTTCTTTGTTTTTTATATATTAAAGAATAAAAAAAAATTAATATAAACTATTGGTCAAAGCTGATTTCAATAACACTGACTGAATTTTTTGACTTGTGGTAGTTTAATTACCAGTATAAATTTATTTAGTAAAGTTCTGGTGGATCAAAGATCGAGGAATGATTTGGTTTTAACTGGTTTGCATCTTATGAACGAAGTACATAATATGATTTAAATTAATGATTTATAGTTACATCTATTCAAGTAAGTTTTATTTAGTTTATTACTTTATGGATAGATGACTATTTTTAGTTGCAAAATTTATATATATATATATATATATATATATATATATATATATATATATATATATATATATATATATATATATATATATATATATATATATATATATATATATATATGTTTATATATATATATATATATATATATATATATATATATATATATATATATATATATATATATATATATATATATATATTATTGTTATTATTATTATATATTATGTTATAATAATTATAGGGTTTTTATTTGTAAATATAGGAATACCAACAATATTCCAATATTTTTTTATAGTAAATAAATGAATTTTGGTGTCTAACAAAAATTGTGGATTTTAAGTCCAGAATTTAAATCCATAAGACACTTTAGTTAATTACACTGTTGAAAACTAATCAAAAGTCTCTAGAATCAACATCTAAGATAAGATACAAGGTTTAGTAAACTGAGAATAACAGAGATTTACATCAGACCAGAATTTATTTATACATTAGCTTATTGCAATAATAAAAATGACAATTTTTTCTTAAGAGAGATGTTCTTATAAAAAAGCTAAAAAACGTAGTTAATGTTAAAAGATGTAAAGTAGAATGAGGCTTGATTTAAAACTGAAGAGAAGTAATAAAAGTTTCCAAATTTTTATTCCAGAAGCAATATAAGCTTCCAAGATGCACTTTTTGCACACATATTATGGATATAACCATATTTGTTTGCTATTTGTTTAGATGCTGGCATACAATATCCTTTCATTGTTGTATAAACTTTAGTATTTATATAGTGTAGTATTTGCCGAAAAAGAAAATGATCAGATGGATGTGTGGTGTGACTCTAACAAGATATAAAAAGTAGGCATAATCTTAGACAGATTAGAAAAAACGTTGTATCAAACAACCTCTTTTTTTAGAAAAAGTTAAAGTAATTCAGGTATTAACATGTAGAGTGGTAGCAGCTTTAGTATAAAATGGTTGTGGTAGAAGTAAGAAAGTTTGAAGAGTGTGCCTTACATAGTGCCATAATAAAGATGATGATGATTATCATGATGACGATCAACAACATCAACATAATTTTTATTATCATTGTCAAGCTTTCCGCTTTTATGCAGTTGATGATCATGATGATTGTCATGATGATGATGATAATGATGATGATGGTGGTGATGATGATGGTTATGATGATGATGATGATCATGTTGATCACAATTATGTTCATATATGCATATATATACAAAATATAGCATGAATTTCAAATTTAAAAAATATACTTTAGGATGTATAAATGTTTATGCAATCTGGTCTCAAATCCGGCCCTGGCCCCGGCTATATTTTATCAAACCCGGCTCCGACCCAAGTCAAATATCAACCCCAGTTGTTTACTACAAAACATTTCAAGAATAAAAAACGTCGTGTTATTTTTAAAAACAATTACTTATTTTATGCTATTACGACAATCACAATATATATATATATATATATATATATATATATATATATATATATATATATATATATATATATATATATATATATATATATATATATATATATATATATACAATAACATTTTTAAAACAATTGCTTTCAGATTAATAATGATACAAGTTTTATTTTTTGATTTAGATTCTGTATCTCAATGATATCCTGGCTTATCGATACGATATCCTGTAAATCCACTCACACACATAAATTTTACTCGTACACGTAAATCCTGTAAATTCACTCACACACATAAATCTTAAAAAAGATGTTTATATTTTTATCTATAAATTGTAAATTTTATATAAAAAAATTGTAAATTTTTTATGTTTTTCATTGTATATTACTATTTGTATTAAAAATCGACTTTGGAAATATTGCAAGTGCAGAGTTCAACATAAAATTTTGTTTTATTTGCAAATTCAATATACATTATAACCAAGTTTATTCACGTTTAATAATAATTTGCGATATTTTCTCCAGCGCATTTGAGCGTTGATTTAACGTTATATTTCAACCTTTACTCGACGTCTTTGAGTCACGTTAAATCGACGTTTTACTACCAACGTTAGAAATCCTTGCAAAATTGACTGCTTTAACAACGTTAAAGTAACGCTTTCCGAGTAACGTTTTTTCAACGTTAAGTTGCGGCGCCTATGCAACGCTTTTTAAGTAACGCTTTTTCAACGTTTAGTTGAGACATTTTTGCAACGTCTTTTAGTAACGATTTTTCAACGTTACGCTACAACGTTTTATCAACGTCTCTTTAACAACGTGACATATCTTTGCAAAATCGATTACTTTGTCAACGTTTCCGCAACACCTTTTGCGACCGGTTTTCAACGTTGATTCAACGCTAACATGTTTGCTGGGTTTGTTTCTTAATGTTTTTGCGTGTGTTTTTTTTTTGTTTTATTTGTATCAGTTTTTGTTTTATTTATTTGTTTATTATTTTTGCAATAATTATACTATTTTATGGTTATTATAATACAATAATTATGATTGTTATTTTAACTAAGTCTTTAGAATTTTTAAACAATAGCTTTTTTTATGTCATTGTTAGTTGTTACGTATGTATGAACTGTATGTATATACGATTGTTGTGTGGAACTTATTAATAATTTATCTAAATTATTTTAATTTATTTTTTGTTTATATGACTATTATTCTTGCTAATAACTATTTATTTAATATTGCTATTATGTATGTGTTGTATTTATTATTATCATATGTATGGAATGTTATAATTATTTGGTGTTACATTACTCTTATATAATAGCAATAATAATAACAATAATAATATTATAAAATGTCTTTAATACAATTTATAATATTATTATTGTTATTATTATTGCTATTATTATTTTCATTTTTATTTATTATTGCCATTAATATCTAGTGTTTACTTCGGATTCATTACTATTTGTAAATGACCTTGAGTTGTAACAACTTTTGTATTCTGAAATATAAATTGATTGATACTGATTGATATATTGATTGACTGATTGTATTTGATTAAGACATTTTGTCCTGATTAAGACATTAAACTGATCTGTCCTCATTAAGATATTAAACTGATCTTTGTGCAGGTGAAGCTCATTAGCCGTAGTGAAAGCTACTCACCAAGGAGACGGAAAACTCCCGTTTTAGTGCGGTTAGGGTAGGCGGAGCTCTTTAACCTTGCATGGTGATCTTCCTAGTGATGGTGTCACTAAAAATATTTTGTTTCCTGAACTGTATAAAACAGGTTAACGCTAGGAAGGCGTAATAATCTGCTTTAAATCCTCATTATGTCATGTTTCAAAAAGAAAATACCGCATCGCCTGTTGCGCGGGTTAACAAGAAGCGCGTCTGATGTTCGTTGTTGGCCTCACGTGAGTTATTGGTTGAAAGTAAATCATTAGTCAGAGACAAGTGTGTAGCATCAACTGGGGTTGATCCTAACACCAGTCGACCGCCCTGTAAAGTAGCTGGTGAGAGTGTTAGTGTGATAAAAGGTGTGAAATTTATAGTTGGATCAGTTAATGTGGGTTCGAGGAAAAAGTGGAGAAGTTGCTGAAATGGCAGGTAGAAGAAGGCTAGATGTATAGCGTCTGCAAGAGACTCCTTTGAAAGATGGGAGTGCTAAGACTATTGGATATAATGATTGTTGGTACAAATTCTTCTGGGTTGGATGTGAAGAAGGAGTGTCAGGTGTTTGTATTTTAGTGGCAGAAAATAGGATAAATCATGTAGTTGAGATAAAAAGAGTAAGTAAGTCAGTAATGGTATTAAGATTAGCTATTGGAGGTTATCATTAGAAACTCAATTTTCAACTTTTTGTATTTATAGTCCAAATTATAGCAATCATTCAGTCACTTTTCAATTACTATTTTTCCTGTTTCTTGGTGTTGAGTCCTTTCAACTTCAAAAGAGCCTTGATATGCTTTAGCATATCAAGGCTCTTTCTTTACTCTTAAGACTATTTCTTTACTCATTATTGTATTGTTATTGCACTGACCTTGACGTGTTTGACAAGGTCCATAGATTTTCAGTAAGATTTATATCTGCAGATTTTATCAGCCAATCAATAGGCTGGATACTTAGCTAAAAATATTTTTTTGGATTTTGCAGTGTAGCATGAACCAGCATCTTGCATAAAAACTGTTTTACACAGTTAAAAAGCCACTTAAAAGTAAACAGATTCTATTAGTTGACCGGCTTTGTACCCCTTTTTTATCTATTAGGCTGGCCTAAATGTATTTATAATACATTGTTTCCAGTTTAGAATGTTAAATGCTGGATCTTCTTCTTGACTCAATGCATGGGTTTCGCTTGTGTCTCTGTTTTTCTGACTGAGCAGCTCATTCTATTATCTTCTAATGCTGAGGGTACTGCTCTAAATCTTAGTTTTATGGTTCTGAGGCCGGCTGGCAGTCAGGTTTCCCGAAACCCCGTCGTAGCTCTGAAAAAGGCTGATTCCATCAACAGTTGTAAAATATTGGTGTACTAACAGTGCCATGTTGGGCATGGATAGTTTCTTGTTTGTACTTTGGGTGTGCATTGCCAAGGCCACACTTGGAGCCCTTTGTTACAGCTTAGGATTTGTTAATAGTAATAAGACATCTGAACGTCTGAATGAAAAACGTCTTTTAAACACAAATGTTTAAAAGACGTTTAAAAGACATTTAAAATACATTTAGATCGTAACTTTTAAAAACAAATGCCCGTCGGGAAAGGTTTAAGAAAATAATTACAACATTACATTATTTTTATAGTACATTTATAAAAAGTTACAAGTAGATTAACTTAGGCTAATTATTAATAAATACTTAATCAAAAAACAAACAAAAAGATGCAAAAAGTCATGGTTTGAAACAACCCATCACTTCTGACCTCACCCAAGAATCATTTAAACTGTTATCATAATCATTAAATTACTGCTGCAAGTTTATCCATAGAATTTCAGAAATATTTGTCATGATATTACTTAAATTACTGGAAAGAGTTTTTACTAACATCTCTTTCTAACAATAAAGATATATCAAAAAGACAAAAGAACCAAACATTAATTAATTTCTAAAAGCGTTGAAACACAAAAACAAAACATTTATAAAATAAAACATTATTCATAAATTAAATAAAATGTATTAATTTAGCAACCAATAAAATGCGTAAATCACTGAAGCATAGAAAAAAATGTTAAGAATCTTTTCTTCCTAAATCAACTTGCCGATAGACAATTAATACCTTGAGCTACAGTATGTGGAGTATGCATAAAAATTGTTTTCTGTTTCTTTTTTTGCGTTACAGGAGTAGGTACTTGCTTACTATTCTGTTGGTTATTATGTTTTCTCTTGCATAAGCATGGTAGTGGCTCCTATAAAAATTAATATCAAAATAAAACTAATAATACTTGAATTAAGTATCTTTTAAAATAGTTACCGTTTTCTGAATCTGATTCTATCTGAGTATCACTAGTAGTGGCAAATTCAAATTTATCACATAACTCATGATCTAAGAATTTTCATTCAATTTAAAAATGTTTTAAATACATTATATAATAAAGAATATATAATAAAGAATATATCTAAACACTGAAAACAACATATACAAAATGAAATCATGTTAAAAAAACAAGGAAAAAAAGTAATGACTTAAGATTTATATAAAAAAAAATTACATAATCTCCATGACATTTAATTTTGAGCAGCGTAAATCTGTATTAGTTAGATGCGGGTTATGCATTTCATTGAAACAATTTATTACTTTTAATGATGATGGCCAGCACAAAAAATTATCAATCAAATTTTCTCTCTTTATTTCTCTGTATTTTTTATCCAAACAGCTCGAATGAACATTTTGCATGCCCTACAATACTTTTTCAACTGGAAAAGTATAGTAAAAAATATAATAGAAAAAATACTTATATATTAAAAATTTGTTCATGTAAAATAGCTAACAGAAAAATACAACTTTAAACTGCACGTTATGATACATTATACAGTTGCTAAAATTTGCTAAACTTTTATGTTGATCCTTCTACCAACCAATATCATGGACTAAAGGGGCAAGCACAAATTCTTTTTTATACAACTTTACAAAAAAAATCTTTAAAAATTTAATAAAAATTTTATAATATGAAAAATATTCAAACTCTTTAAATCGCATGGATTATTAAAAAAAGCTCATTTTGTAAAACATCATCCATTTTCATACACCAATATATATATATATATATATATATATATATATATATATATATATATATATATATATATATATATATATATATATATATATATATATATATATATAAATATATATATATATATATATATATATATATATATTTATATATATATATATATATATATATATATATATATATATATATATATATATATATATATATATATATATATATATATATAAATATATATATATATATATATATATATATATATATATATATATATATATATATATATATATATATATATATATATATATATATATATATATATATAGTATATACATTTATATTATGTATGTATATTTTTTTTATTTTTTTTTATTCGAGTTTTCATGCTATATTTTTCTATACAATGTTCATATTTACGAAGATATTGTGGGCTTAGCATAGGAACAGCCACAAATAGTCATTAAGACTAATCCAAAGTAGCGTCCGTTATTGACCAACATTTTTGCGTACCGAAGTACTACTCAAGCGCTGAGTTGGCGGTGGTGGGATTTGAACTCTTGTCGTTCAACAGCCCGGATTTTAACTTTTCCTTTGACACT